GTAAGGGATTTGACTTGTTCTCTTTTGTCCCAGTGGAAATGATAGGGGAAAGTGGCTGAGGCAAACTGAGGCTTGATAACAGAAACAATAAATAAACCTTCTTAATGCTTGGAACTAACTAAGACTTTAAGTAGAGGATAGATGACCACTTGTCAGATGTGTTATTGTGAGGATTTCTTCTGTGACTGTTCTCTCCATGTTGTATCTATATTCTTTCCCAGCGCATCTTCACTAAGAGCAGGACTCTCTTGATATTCATGATTGTATTGTGATCCAAAATCGCGTCGATCCCCTCCCATCCTAATATCACAAGACTTTGGTAATGCAATCAACATCATTTAATGAAAGTAGTGATGAAAGCAGGTGAGTACTTGCTTATGGGCACTAGGTAAGTGCCTTGTAAATAGTAAGTGCTTAAAACATGTTTGTTTAATTGAACTGTCTGGTGCAAAAATTAACAAAGTATGGGCATGCAAACACTTAAGTGAAGTCCTCAGAAAAGCAAGTCCTTTATCTCCACCCTATCGAGAGTTTCAACTAAGCAGGAATAGATTGCTTTCCCTGACCTAAAATTACATAACCCTCAATTTCAGTATGGACCTACAAGGAGGAGCAGAAAGAACTGGCATGTGTTGGGTTTGTGAGCCTTTCTCCTAAAAATACAGTTCTTAAATAGTTAACTGAATTCCTCATCTGTTAATGAAAGTCCTATTTTTACACAGTACTTTTTTTTTAATGGAAATGCCAGTTTTAGGAAATAAAGTGCCTGACTATAAGGAAAATTTGAATAATGCTTACAAGTCTTTTGTATGTGTTTTGATGGTGTTTTTTTGCGCCTTGATTCATTAATAAAGGAGAAAAGAAGGCATAACATGTCACATTACATTTTCTCAGACCATTGTTCAAACAGAATATTTTCTTTTTTTTTCCCTGAGAAAATTACCAAGGTAAATTAATTATATCCATTCTCACTCTTTCCCACTAGGAAAAGCACTTTCACATAATGACTGCAATTCTGAATTCATCACATAAAATGTGTAGGTTTTTTTTAATGGGAAAAATGCTTTTTAATTTGCTTAGAAAAGTGTCAGATCAGGGAGAAGTAGGATAGTGAATAAAAGAATAGACAACGAGGCAGAAAAGTACTTGGTGATGTGAGAAGGCCACTACAACTAAGGTCCTGCAATCTTCCAGGCATGTACGAGATCTTAGATATTCCTAGAGTCCTGGGTCAGTGTTGTACTGGAGCCAGCTTGAAAAAGCTGCTGATAGTTAAATCTTCAGTATAAGCATTTACACCTAAGAAATATGCAAGCTGCATATCAGACCCTGATTTATTGTTTTGTTCATTGTTTACATTCAAGAAAGTGATGGGGAAAATATTAGTTATGCATTAAAATTAAAAGTATGTCAGGCATAATTCTCTGAGAGACCATTGTTAAACATTTCCCATCACACAGTTGCACAGGATTGTATCTCTAGAGGTGGAAGGGACCCCAGAGGCCATGTAGTACATACTTATAATTTTACAAATAAGAAGAGAGGCCCTAGCATATGAACGGATTCGCCCTACGTCATACAGGGATTTGAACCCAGGTCTTCTGACTCTAGAATCAACATTCTTTCAATGGTACTATGAAAAGCTGAAATGTTATTCTTCGAATTAGAAGTCACCTTGTCCAAGCAACACCCTGCTCCCACCTTCTCATTTTACAGGGGAGGTTATGGAGGTTTAGTGATTAAATCATTCTTTTCATAGCAAGTCAGCGGCCAAGCTGGGACCCAAACTTCCAGTTCTTGGTTAGGAAACTGGAACGAACCACATTTATACTCTAAGGGGTCTTTCCATTGCAACATGCTTTTTTCTGGGGTCAGTAGTAGACAGCTTCTAGGCCCACAATTAGACATTTTCCTGTATGCATTTAATAGCTCCAAAAGAACAAATGGAAAGAGGGTTTGGGGAGATGCTTTTCTGTAGTCCACTAGAGAAATACCTATTTCCAGGCAATATCCCTGGCTGCTCCCAATTCACCTCCTCCCTCCCTCCCAAGACAGCCCATTTCACTCTGGGACAGCTCAAAATGTAGGACTACTATGAAGCCAAAATTTGCCTCACTCTTACTTCTGTCTTTTGTTTCTGATTCTTCCCTTAGGGGCCAAGCAGAACCAGTTGAATCTAGATTTCTGATGAAAGCCTTTTAAATACTTAAACGCTGTTGTCAATCATCTCCTCCTTCCCCCTCCACCTTCCCCCCTCTCTTCTCTGGGCTAAATATCCCTATAGTACCTTCAACTGATTCTTTCTTTAACTGTGTGAGAGACATCGTTGATTTTAGAACCACGAAGCTCAATTTACACGGCTAAAGTAGAGAATTTGGATGGGACTCTACTCTAAATTACCCGGATTGGCTGTGTGGACAAGCTCCCATGAAAATCAAAATAATGCCCTTCTGTTTCCCTTTGATTGTTTTGTATATATTTGTGTGCATGTTGTCCCTAGCATTAGATTGTAAGCTACTTGAGGTCAGAGACTGTTTTTTATCTCTTTTTATATCCCTAGCCTTTAGCATAGTGCCACTTAATAAATGTTTGTTGATTGATTGATTGTGGAGTTACAATCCAGAGTTTCCTTGTCCAGAGTACATTAAAATCAATTGCCTCATGGGTAATTACAGGGAAAGCTAGAGATTTCCCATCCCACATAATTGTTATTCCCCTGAGAAATTCACAAGCTTCTTTAGATATACAACTGACAATTATAAAAACAACAACAAAAAAACAACCAAATCTCCAAGTATTTATTAAGTACCTACTATGTGTCAGGCATGTGGTAAGCACCTTAAAAATATTATCTCATTTGATCTTCACAACAACTCTGGGAGGTAGGTGCTATTATTATTCCCATTTTACAGTTAAGGAAGTTGAGCCATGCAGAGGTTAAATGACTTGCCCAGGGTCACATGGCTAGGAAGTATCTGAGGATGAATTTGAGCTCAGATCTTCCTAACTTGAGGTCCAGTGCTCAATCCATTGAGCCACTAATCTGATGTGACTAAAAACAAAAATTACTTTGCATGTATTTTTGTTTGCCTAGAATATATAGTTCATGACCCAAGCAAGAAAATCTTTATCAGGATTATACATTCAGCATTGGAAGGAAGCTCATCTAATGCTCACTTGGTGAAATTACTTGCTCAGGGTCAAACAGCTAACAAGTATCAGAGGTAGGATTTGAACCCAGGTCTTCCTGACTCTGCGTAACTCTTAACAGTTCTCTAATAGAGCTCAGGCTATGAAGTGGTACAGTAAATAGAGAGCTGGGGCTGGAGTCAGAATAGGCCTGAGTTCAAATCTGGCTTTAGACATTTAAGTAGTTGTATGACCCTGGGCTTAATCTTTGCTTTCTTCAGTTTCCTCAATTGTGAAATGGAAATCATAATAGCCCCTACTTCACCAGGACATTGTGAGGATCAAGAGAGATGATATTTGTAAAGTGTCGGACACACTGTAAGTGCTCAATAAATCCTTGTTGCCTCCCTCCAAGTCCCCTGCTCTATCCACATAGCAAACAGGAAATTGGTTTGAGTATAACGTGATCTCAAAATACATTCCTTCCTTTTGAGATCTTAGTAGGACTACTCTAAAAGATTCCTTGTTAAAAAGCAAAACAAACCATTGTTTGTCTCCCAGTTCTTTAGATGTCCCAACTGAAACAAGTACATCTAATCTTAAAACTCATGAGACAAAGTTTGCTTGACATTTTTTTAGCTGGCTTGGCTATTGAATTTGTAGTGATCCGTCTTGGTTTTTCTTCTCTACCTTGCTACTGCTCAGGCATTTCTAGCTGGGAGTCAAACATGAATGAGTATTCCTTCTGGAATTTTCACGTTTGAGATGGTTTAAAAAGGGAAATGCTAGGTGTACCATGAACACGTCTGTGCATATGCATGTTCGTTTGATGGTCCTGAAGCGAGTGATGGATGCTCACGGTGGCAGCTGAGCTAAGACGTACAGAATTGCTCAGCAGAGCTTGGCACTAAATTCCTTGAGCTGGAAAGTCCCCTGCTGTTCTTTCCTGAGGCCTATGCTCACTCACAGAGGGAGGGGACCATAGCAGATAATGGGCTCCCCTGGCCTCTCTGAGCTGAAGCTTGTCAGTTACGATCAGTGCTAAGGAGCAATCCTGTTCCTTTGCACTGAGAGATCTCATCTTCCCTATTTCCCTTTCCTGTAGAGGGTCAACTTAGTAGCCTGCATCAGCTGGTGACTGCCCCGATTAAGGACCAGAAGGTACTGTAAGACTGATAGAAGAACAATATGTATACCTTAGAGAAATAGGGTTCTTTTTGGCAGGGAGAGACCTGTGATGACACAGGAGTCAGAAAAATCTCAGTGGGGAAAATCCTTCCATTGATGCAGATTGGCATTTGGGTTGTCATTTATAATCTTAGCTAATTTTCTGGGGGCACTGAGAGATTAAATGACTTGCTGAGGGTCACTTAGTATCGATCAGAGACAGAATTTGAACCCTGGTTCTCTTGACTCCAAGGTTTAGCCTCTTGTCACATGCTATTCTTCAAATTTTACCTGTATAATTATTAGGATTTGACCACTGTGGAGAAGAGCCCTGGTGGGATGATGGTGGAATAGGGAGAGTTAAAATTAGCCATTCCCATTTTATTCCAACAAAGATACCACCTGGCCATTAAGTAACAATGAGAAATGATGAAGATCCAAAACAGCATTCTTTCTTTTCTTTTCTCTTTATAGAAGGTGCCTACTCCTGGAAAAAATAATCTCTGCTTTAGCTACTATAGGTCCTATGATAAGAACCATCATTTCCTTCTATGGCCTTTAGTCCACTCATGATTTCAAAACAGAAAAAGAAAAGGAAAAGCCGAAACAAAAGCAAAACTAGACCCTAGCACTGTCTTTATTCCCATGGACATTTACAACAATTTACGTTGGTAAAACAGAAGCGGCTACCATGACCCCACTACCTTATGCTCCAGGCTGGAGTCTTTAAACATCAGTGAGAAAGGCTTGATATGCTCTCTTCTCAATTTATCGCCACTCCGTAAGTCGATGGTGTGCTCTATTCTCTTGTTAATTTCCTCAGGCCCAGACTGGACATGCAAAGCTTGTGCAAGATGGTTTGGAAGCAGATTTATTGAATTTCTTGTTAGGGCAGCCAGAGTCTAGGGGAAAGCACATGCACAAAGAATAAACCTGCTAGTCCCCTTTGGGTTAAAAAAATTAAAATAAAAAATTTAAAAATGCAATGTTTTTAGATCATGTCGCATTGCAAACTGTAATAGCATTCCATGCATTTTTATTCAGTGAAACCTACGGGAAGCGGAAAGTCAGAAAACATATTACAGTACAACAAGTTGCTGCTTTTGCAGCACATTTGAGCGAGGGCACTTCTCCCTCTGTGTAGGTGCACTGAATTCCTTTGGTTAAAGGTTTGTATGCTTGAAAACAGAATCATAGCATCACATACACCGTGTCAGAGCTGGAAAGGACCTTAGAGATCATCGAGGCCAAGAGCAATTTGTGGACCAGAGAGGGGAGGGACTTGCCCAAGCTCAGATCTGGGCCTGGTCTCTAAGGGGGCCCTTCCCTGGTATGAGAGAAAGAGAAAAAAATAAAGCAAAGAACCAAATACAGGCAAATTCCAAGAAGTCCACAGATGCGATCTGCTCCAACATGACATCAGAGTTAGATTCCGCAGCTTCCTGTGGTCTTTCATTTGGCTGTGGGGGAGATAATTTACAGAGTACCATGTTGCATTTTTTTCTATCTGGAACTGGCTCTCATCTTTAGACCTCTTTAGGGATAGATGGCCATGAAAATGTTAATATACACAGTTCATATTTCTGCAGCACTTCACAGTTTACAACAAACCTGTGAGGGTAGGAAGTGCAAGAGTTCTTAGCCTCATTTCACAAAAGAGAAAACTGAGGTTGGCCCCAGAGGTAGACAGTTAGTAAATGTAAGAGCTGGGACTTGAACCCAAGTCTTATGAATCTTAGCCTCTTCTATGACATTGGGATAATGAATATATAATTTCAAATTCATTCAAATTTTTGCCCATATGCCACTGCAAATGTTTATGCTCATAAAAATCTAGAACATATCTTTTGAGAAAGAAAATGCAAACAGAGGCATTCTTCTGCCATTTTGGCATTTGTAGCTGAGAGATGGTGTGATTGCTGTGGTTGGTAATAGGATACTAAAGCTGACATAAGAATAAAAGTTGACCTGGCACCTTCCATCCAAATATGGTGAATAGACAACCACAGTTACCAGCCCATCTCAAAACAATAGACAAATCACACTATTGAGTCACAATGGACTAGAGCAATCCAGAGACAGGGAGCTCTTGAACCCCTGAGGTGATTCCTTTGGGGGATGGGGATTTGGTACTTCAAGTACCAAGGGGTAGGGAGGCAGGGTAGAGAGTCTCATGACTGCGTGCTTGACCCACTCTTTTCTCCCAGCATTTCATTTGGCACCCTGTTCAAGGGCACCAATTATATTAGGCAAAGTATCCAGAGTGAGAGAATTTTAAAACTGGAATGGATCTAAATGGTCTAAGCCTTCATCTCTGAGACATGAAGGACTCAATAGTTGAGTGCCTTTCCCAAGGTCATACAGTTAAGAGTCAGAGCTAGTATCCCAGTCAACGGCATTAGAGTTCTACCAGACATTCATAAACATCAAATTTGAGCCTCAAATTCATATTCTACAAGTGAGAAAACTGGGGCTAAGAGAGGCACCCGCATCCAAGGTCACCCAGTCATTGAGTGACTGAGCTAGGAGTAGACAATAGGTTTTGCACTTCTCGGTCGTGTGTTCCTTTCATTATTTTTAAGCCAAAGCTTACTCTGAACAAATGACAGGATCTTATGTGGCTTCATGCCCCCTCTTTTTTTTTGTGGAAATATATTCAGTTTTACTTTAATTAGGGGCTCCAATGGGGCTATAGTTATTGCATCATGGGGTCATAGATCCAAGAGAAGGGACCTCAGAGGTGATGGGCTACGTTTTTTATTTTACAGAAAAGGAAAATGGAGGCACAGAGACAGGGAATGACTTGCCCCAGGTCCCATAGGCAGTATATGGCAGAATTCTGGGAGAATTCTCCTCATCCTTGGTCTAGGACTTTCTGAGAGAGGTGTTTTTGGCCAATGAACCAGTGAATATAAACTTCCAAGCAAAAGAAAACAAAAAAAGATAGGTAGTTAATGGGGGTAGGAGAGAAGGGCAGAGAAGCACATCTGGGAGGGAGAAGAGAGTAGGGAAACAGAGACAAGTCTCAGTAAAGTGACAAAAAATAGGTGCTTCAGAGTGCTCCTCTACTCTCTCCTGAATTCAGTACTATTAGCACAACCTCACTGCAAGCAGGGGACCAGCAGCTTCTGCTTCTGCCTCATAAATCTGTTATTGATTACTTGAGGAAAAATGTTTCCAGAGCATCAGGCAGGTGTCTGGAGTTATTGTGCTCCCTTGGAAGGAAGCATGAAGGAAGAGCATGCAGCTCTGGTTGGGCTTTTACTAAGTGGCTTACAGCTACCAGGACCTTGCTGCCGTGTACTATCTGTTGGAACTCTGGTGGCTAGCAATAGGGCGAGGAATTGAATATATATATATATATATATATATATATATACATACACACACACATATATTCAAAACAAAGATGTTTCCCCTTTTAAGTTTTCCTTCTATGAAATAGAAATATGCTGTTTTAGGCATGTCACCTACACCTTCTCACAGGATCACATTGAGGGATATAATGAAAAAGATGCCATGCCTCCAGGGCCTTTAGGGTAGACCAGCATGAAATCCAGAGTAAGGCCAAGTGCCCTGTGGCCAAGGGCTCAATTCCCATTGGTTGTTACTGCTTTTGGCAACAGGCCAATGGAAATTCCCTGACTGAAGAGTTCCACCAAATGCTACTGGTTAGTTTTGCAACTGCTCGTTTCAAGGCAGAACAGAACTTTTTGTTGTAGCTGTTAAAAAGCTCTTAGCAGAGGCCTTATGAAAAAAGCATTTTGTCAAAACTGCTAAGTCAAATCAGAATGCCTTTCTTGATTTAATCATATCTGCTGTTGTGAGGGCAGTGACAAACAGTTTGTCCAGAAAGTCATATCTTAGTCACTATGTACAGACTACATATGTTGGATTATCAGAGACACACTTTAGTTAAAATCTTCTCTCTCCCTCCCTCCCTCTCTCTCTCTCTCTCTCTCTCTCTCTCTCTCTCTCTCTCTCTCTCTCTCTCTCTCTCTCTCTTCCCCCCCCCCCCGGGCTAATGTGCTCTTGATTTTCTAATCCAGATTGTTTCGTGGGTTCTGGCCAAGGAAGAGCAAAATCATGTTGACATTAGCTTAAGTGACACAGAGAAGGAAGATGGGCAGCTCAGTCTGCTGCCAAAGTAATCCCATAGTATGTTCTATGACATCAATAACTTATATGCCATTTGTAGTTTGGGATTATCTGTGCCAATGATCCCTTTCATTACTGGAGGTAATTGTGAGTTGACTACACATTCAGTTTTAGCAAGAACAATTAAAAAAAAATCAACTGCCAATTTCACTGGGGAGATCTGCATGGAGTGTTTGGGATAATTTATCCTTTTCCTCATTTATTCTGCTATGGTCAGACTGGAATAAAACCTCTAGCAGTAGCATTTAGCTTTATCTTCAACAGTTCACAGAAATACAAGACTGAGTTAGTTCAGAAACATGCTAGATAATAGCACCAATTTTATGATACTATTTCCAACTGAAACTGATCTGTGAACTGTGGGGAACTATGCTTTCCATGAGCAATTTATGTAATTGGCTCAGGAATGGGGAAATAAAAGAAGTGGAAAGATGAAGGTGGAAGGAAATGTCATGAGATTAGTGATGGATTTTTTTTCCAGGGAAGTTTGTACCTACACATAGGAAAATCAGTGCTATGATGAATGGGGTATGCCAGAGTTTGGGACTGAGTTGGCCTCTCATATTTGAGGCGCACAGCAAAGAATATTCACATTAAACACTTTACATTTAGAGCTGGGAGGGACCTCAAAAGTCATCTAGTCCAACCCCTTCCTTTTTTAAATGAGGACACTGAGAACTAGTGAGCCCCTTAATGGGGCTTTCTGAAGGTCACCCAGATGGTAAGGTGCAGAGCTGAGATTCACACCCAGACCCTCTGATGCCAAAACCAATGCTCTTTCCATTGCACCAACCCTGACATCTGGTGACAGAGAGTAGTATTTTTGCCACTCAAGAAATCCTGAAATTGTGTTCTCATGCAGAACTGGCCTTGGCCCAACTTAAAAGAAAAAAAAAAGCCCCGCTTGAATCTAGCTTTCTGAGCATAGAAATTCCTTCTAATGATCGGGGACTCTAAGTCAACCATCAGAAAATGAGATTATTATTATATTCATTTTTATATTACAATTTTTTTTAAAAGTCCCTAGGTGTAGGTGCAACGGCAACTGTTGCATGCTTTTTTCTCAGGTCTCCGTGAGGAGTTCTGACCCTGAACCTTCTGTCCTGCCCAGTAATAATTCTCTGGTGTTGATTCCCCTGAGAGTGGGCCTCTCTGCTCTCAGCCAGGTTGCTCCTCAGGTAACAAAAGCATTCCTTATAACTGAGCTCAATGTCCAAAGTCTTTCCAGATTGGTAGATTTTGATAGAATTTGTGTCCGTACTAAGCTGTTTAGCAGTCTTACATTTATAAAACCATTAATTTCATATTTAGTACATGAAATCTATGGAGTTGAAGCAGGGGCCAATTGCTTCTTTGCGTCTGACTTTTTTCCCCTTTATGTTATCCATGGAAAACTCACCTTCATACACATCCTGTGACTTCATGGAAAATCACTGACATTTATCAAACCAGATCCTACTAGTGAGGAAGTTATTCCCAGAAAGTCTTTAGAATTTTTAACTATATGCATTTTGCCATCAAATTGCAAGGTAACACTGAGAAAATTGGTATCTCATTACACTAAACCATAGAATCACTGAATTTGAGAGCTAGAAAGGACCTCAGGGGTCATCTAGTCTAATATAATCATTAACATAGGAGCCCTTTCTACAATAACTCTGATAGGTGATCATTCAGTCTCTCTTTGAATACTCGCAGGGATAGGATGGTCACTAATTTGTGAAGTAGTCTATTCCAGTGATAG